CACACCCCCCTAATTTACTACACTTAACCTCATACTCCTTGACCTATCCTATTTCTAAATGACTGTCCACGCTTCATCAAACCTAACACAAAAATACTCAGGTTTAGCCATTTTTTCTGGTGTTCATTTTCTTATGCAGACTCCCATGTCGCATGTTAAAAAACAAAATTCATCCAAGTAAATGTGACGATCAAATTGGCTTTATTAAATAATTCACGAATTGGGTAGCATCCCAGCAATCCATCGAGCAAATAGAAAGGAGCTCTGTTGAGCTGCAAGAAGGGAAAGGTTTTTAAAAGCAGAGAGGAAGTGGAAAAAAGGGGAATTATTAGCAAAGAATGCATTGTTTTAGGCAAAGTTGCCTTCCTAAGGGGAACGGAAGGGGCCTATCAGTGGGCTACCTCCTAGTGCTGACCCTGAAACTTCATGTTGGCTGGTTACAGGCCACCTTACTTTTGGGGTTGAAACTGCAGTTAGGTTAGGTATTAAGTCTTGGTTTGCTGACAGGGACCTTACCATAAGTGACTTCATTTGGGGCCTGTGGTTCTTTTTATTATACATATAACTTACAGTAAATAAATTTGCATGCTTTTCTGTTGCTGATCTGTCTTTGTCAGTTTAACTTTCAGACCTAGTCAGGGACTTTGAGAGGATTAAGGAAAATTCTTTTTAAGATTTTATTTATTTATTAGAGAGAGAGAGCATGAGCAGGTGGAGGGGCAGAGGGAGAAGCAGACTCCCCATTGAGTGAGGAGCCTGATGTGGGACTCGATCCCAGCACCCTGGGATCATGACCTGAGCCAAAGGTGCCCCAAAATGTTGCCCCAAAATGTTTTCTTCCCCTACAGTTCTTTGAAGATATGTATGATGTTTAAAAAATATTTATGTATACACACATACACATAGTAATGGAAGCTACTTAACTTTATTAGTAACCTATTTGCTTTATTTCAGACCATAAATACTATATTACTAAATCCAGGAGTTCTTACTTTGATTCTTTTAAGGAAATGAGGATGGAAAGAATTGTATTTATTTATTTATTTATTGCAATTTTTTTTTTTTTTACTTGAGAGAGAGTGAGCGAGAAAGAGAGAGGGAGAAGCAGATTCCCCACTGAGCAGGGAGCCTGACACGGGGCTCAATCCCAGGACCCTGGGATCATGACCTGAGCCGAAGGCAGACACTTCACCCACTGAGCCACCCAGGTGCCCCAAGAATTTATTTTTCATATATTTGCCCTTCACAGCAAATAACTGCCCCTCAGAACACTAATACCTCTACCTAATAATCAATGAAGATCGGTCTTTAAGGATAGAAAAGTATTAACCAGGACTTTTTTAGTCTCCAATTTTTTGTGTGGGTGGGAGGAAACTAGGTAAAATGTACTGTATGGAAGGAACATAATATTTTCTTTCAATCAATGAAAGTAGACATAAAATATCCTCAGTGGGGAAGCCCGTCTTTTAATACTTAATATTGATAGATTCATAAACACATGTTTTTAAACTCCTTACTCTTGAAGACATAAATAGTAAGCAGTTGGCTCTGAAATGGTACCTTGTCAGAAACACGTGATGGGTGTGTTGGCTGAGCCAGTATGGTTTCCCAGGTCTCGAGGCCGCCATGATCTTTCTGCTCAGGAGTTCCCCTGTGGACAGTTTTGCTGGCACCCCTACTGCTCTCCTGCTGTGGTTTCTCTTCTCCCAGGTACCTAAAAAGGCAGATGATCCTAACTGGTGAAATGCAAAAAGGAGCCTAGTGTTTGGATCCTCACCAAAGTCAAGCTGCCAGGATATTGTTTGCAGACGAAGAAAGGGTTTGTACTAGGTGGTATTTAGGGTAAAAACCTCGGCCAGAGAGCTCTTTCTTGAAGAGTTTGAAATACACATAGTTGGTTAAGGACATGGGTTGGGAGTTAAACAGAAATAGCTTTAACTCTGGCTTGTACCCCAAGAAATGGGACTGTAAGCCAGTCTTAAACCCACTGAGCACTAAGCCATAGCTTCCTTGCCTGAAAAAATGCGGATGATAATACCTACCTCACGGAGCCATTATGAGAAATAATTAAGGTGGGTATTTTTAGAATGTGAGTTAGATATACCTGTCTTCTGGTTTAAACCTTCAGGGGCTTTCCAACTCATTTCAAATAATTTCCAAATTCCTTCCTATGGCCTACAATCCCTCTACATGACCCATCACTCTACTGTCCCATTGATGTTCCCTGAAAACACCAGGCACACTTCAGCCTCAGGGCCTTTGCACTTGCAGTTCTCTCTCTGGACTGCTCTTCCCCCTATTTCATCAGCACACCCACCCCCCCCCCCCAAAAAATCACACATCACCTTTACCCTTTTAGATTTTTTTACCTTCGCATTTATCAATTCCTGATATACTATTTTTTGTTCATTATCCAAATTCCCCCTAGAATATAAGCCATGAGAGCAGATCCTTTGTTTTTATTTACTGCTATATTCCCAGCAGGGAAATCATTCGTCACCCAACAGATACTAATAAGCACCCACAGTGATCCAGCAATTCCTTAGTTACATATCTGGGACTCAGATTTTTTTGTTATTTAAATGGTTCCTAATTTTTAAGGAATTTTAAGTGTACCAAGGAACTGGAACTGGAGGTCTTTTTTCAGGGGGGATCTGGAGAAGGGTTAGCATTGGCAGTCATGGAGGTACGCCACTGATCTCTCCTTCCAGTGGACCCTGGCACGAGCTGTGTGGTCAGTAGATAGCCTCCAGCTGCCACAGCTTTGGCACCCTTACAACGTTCATAATGAGGTTCCTAGCCAGTGAGTGACATGGCAGAGATACTGGAGCTGGCCACTGTCTGCCCGGGATGAGGCTGGTGGGCAGTCCTTGCTTCGGGAATTCCATCCGCCTGGTGGAGACGTTGTCAGAGCCATAGTGCAGTCGGAGACCCTTCCTCTCTCCTCTCCTCTCACAGGTCTTAGTCCTGCCTCGTGGTTTGAGGGCTCTCCCTGCCTGCCCCTGCTTCCACTCCCCTTCCCCCGAGGCATCAGCCCCCCTTTGGTGCAGAACGGTCACATGCTAAGCCTTCAGATCTGCAGTTTTCTACAGCTCTGCCCTCACTGCGGAATTCTCGAGGTGATAGCAGTAGCCCTTGTGTGCATGTTCCAGTAATTTCTGCACTTCTTTTAGACAATAAAAAGTGAAAGAACCAGGATTGGCCCTAAGCTCCAGTGGGACTCTATCTTAGAGGCCCAAATGGAAGCTATTTCAGAAGACAAAGTGGAAGGGAGTGACCTCTCATGCAGCTAATGTAAAGACAGGCATTTTTAAAAGCTGAATTATTTAAGTAGAAAATGCATACATTTAGAGGGCAATTTCGTGGATGTCTCTTGAGATTCCTTTCAATGACTCTGTTCAATGTGGACTGACATCTCCAGGTAGCAATAGCTAAAAACATTCTTTCCCTGACCTGCTTCTTCAGATATATGTCTTCTCTGTCGCTGTATTTCTTTCTTTCCTTTTTTTTTTTTTTTAAGAGAGCGCAAGTGAGTGTGAGCAGGGTGGAGGGGAGGTGCAGAGGGAGGAGAGAGAGAATCTTAAGAAGGCTCTATGCCCAGTGCAGAGCCCAAAACAGGGCTTGATCTCACGATCCTGAGATCATAACCTAAGTGGAAAGCAGGAGTCAGACACTTAACCGACTGAGCCACCCAGGCGCCCCCTGTGTCGTATTTCTGATCATTTGCTCAGTGCAGTTTATTTTTCTGGAACAAATTGTGGTTTAATTAGAAGTGCTTTACTGAAAAGGATTTTCCAGCTTGTGGTCATGCTTCAGGCCCATCTGCAAAGCACATCTCCTGTTGTTTTTAGAATTATTGGGCTGGGGGGCGTTAAAGAAAAAGTTATTCTTGACACTTATTAAAGAATGAGTGGGCAGACTGTTCAGGAGACTACTACAGTGGGGGGGGGTGTATACAGTACTTGGGGAGAGGTTGAGCTCAACTCTGAATACAAGGAGGAAAGGGGGGTTTATAGCCAAAGAGCAGGTGGAGGTTACCTGGAGATGGTGGAGGTTGAGGCACCTGATATATCAAAGGTGCTCAGATATTGAGGGTGGGAGATTCTGGCTAAAGCAACTTAGCAGGATTCCTGATAAAATCGATCACTGCAAAGACAGACATGGAAGTCCCAAAGTGGATGTCTAGTTGGGAAGAAGATTCAGAGGAGCCTGACTACGGTTTGCTCAAGAGAGAGAATCTCTGGGGGTGTGGGGGAGGAGATGGGAGGAAGGGCACATTTCTTATTTTAATATTTGTTGTAAATATCTATTACAAAAACAATTATTTTCCTCCCTGGCTCTGTATAAATTGGTCTTCTTTAATTTCTCCTTATTTTAGTTGCTAAGGCTACTAAGTTGCTAAGTTTTGACTAACATGACAGTTTTCCTGTCCAAGGAAGTTACTTTCAGTTACCACCCACTCCTCCTGAAAGCATATTTTGTTGACTTTGTTCTTCCTTCTGCAAGCTGAGAAGTTGTTCACTGAATATCCTAGGAATAATTGTTTCAGGTGTCCCACGGCAAGAATCAGGGAGCCTGTCCCATTGTCCTGCTACAACACAACACGAGCTATCTCTGAGCCTGAACATCCAGATTTGGCTCAGAATCCCATCGGAGATGCTTCAGGGAGGGAGAGGGACAGAGACAGACACAAAGAGTTTAGCATCTCAAATTGGCAGACCTTAAAAAATGAGTCCCAGGGATTTAACATCTTTATCTGGAAGTAAAAGGGAAAGTGGGAATTCATGACTACTCATGACCATACTTTAAGCAGTCAGAAACAGAGTTTGACTCTTAGGTGGCTCATCCATGCATGTCCTCCCTCCCTTCCTCCCAAATCCAGACCCTCCTTGAGCTGACACAAATCCTCACAGCCAAGGAGATATCAGAGATCTTGTTAATAAGTATCATGGGCCAAATTTCAAGGTTTTTAAAAATATAGAACATGAAAGATCCAGAAAGGTGTGTTTTCCCCTTGCTGCTTTTTCAGTATCCTTCATCAACTCTCCCACACCCAGGTCACTTGGGAAGTTGGTGATATTCTTTATTTCTGGAGAAAGAAAACGATGAAATGATTGGATTAAACCTTTCCACTTGATACCAGGATAAGGGTTCACTTTATTATTGAAATGAGCAAGTTAGGTGCTCACGGTTGGTTATGGAGGGAGAGAAATTTTCATTTTTGTGTCTATGGAATTCAGAAGCCAGGATAGACAGCAGGTCTCTAGTACCTTGTGAAGTTTGCCAGATAATTGCCCCGGATTGACCTCTCATCATCTGAGAGTGTGATCTGCCATGTCAGGGAGGTTCAGGGCAGGGGGTGCCCAAGCCCCACATTATCTCCTCCGGTCACTACTCCCCAACATGGCCCATGAAGAGAGTAGAAGCTAAAACTGTGCTCTGAAGATGGAGCCTCTGTGCCTGATGTAGCCTGAGGCTGGCTCTGGCAGAGAACAAACACAACCTGACCTCCTTGGGCAAAAATCTAAATGTCACTGAGTCTAGGGCAATAGTAATGTACGAACTCTGGGTTTCCGCCATGCTTAAACTCCCAGATGTGCATTCTGGATCAGTGGAAATGAGCACACCATGGTACCATTGCTCATAAGAATCCACATAACAGAAATGCTCTTCTTGTCACAATGTGGACGTAACTCGCTGCTTATCATCTGTGTCCTCTTGGGCAACTTGCTAACGTCAGTTAGGATCAGTTTACTCATCCGTATGGGAGGGGTGGTGGTAGTTACCTCCTTTGTTCTTGGATGATGAATTGTAATTGATACTGGCAACATTATAATAATTACTATTACTGTGTTACTAATAATCAGTGGTAATTTACTGGGTTCAGATTATGCATCAAGCACTTGAGTGCCCAAAGGTAACCTGTGAAATGGGCAATTATTTTTGGTTATCCCTGCTTTTGGGGATGAAGAAATGGAGCTCAAATAAGCTTATAGGTGTCCAGCCATAGTCGGATCTGGTCTATCTGACCCTAAAACCAATGTAAAATGCCCAGTAGTTTCTGGTGTTCTTTTTTTTTAAGATTTTATTTATATGCTTGACAGAGCATGAGCAGGGGGTGGGAGGCAGAGGAAGAGGAGGAAGCAGACTTGCTGCTGAGCAGGGAGCCCAATGTGGGACTTGATCCCAGGACCCTGAGATCATGTCCTGAGCCAAAGGCAGACCCTTAACACCCAGGCACCCCTCTGGTGTTCTTGAAGTGGTTTTTATGCTTATTTATACACATTTTCTTCCATATTCCGAAGTAAGCTGTCATGCAGAAATATGTACAACTAGATAAATTGAATGGAACAGGGATTTAGGCTGAAGGTAGGGGGGAACGATGTGAAGGACATCAAATTAGAGGCAAAATTAGCAGGCAGCCACTGTATGGGCAGCAAAAAACGTTCCATAAAGTTGGAATAAGTGACTGCAGAGCGGCTACTTGTGATCCTGGTGGCCAAAGCCAGGCAGGAAATGCAGTCATAGGACTCACCATGTCCACTAGATTGCAAGGGAAGCAACAGATCAGGACAGACCATTTTCCTTGGTACTAGGATCCGAGACACACTCAGACTCGATGCGAGGCGGTGGAAAACACCCCTCCATCACAACCCGGTAATAAATTATGGCCGGTGGGGGTGGGCATCACAGGGAGGCCTCAAGAAATGTGGTAATTAAACCTAAGAAGCTTCCAGCACCCTTCCAACCCTAGTGATGGCTGCTGGCATTCAGCGACAGGGAGAACAGTGGGGCCTCCAGATATGACTGCTGAGAAGTCATCTGCCCCCCTTACCTCCCAACAGTGTCACTCTCCCTTACCGGCCTCGATGCAGGTGTGATTCAGGTGTGTGCTTCCGTGGAGCCAAGGATCCCGGCTCTGCCCCAGCAGCTATACCATCCTGGGCAAGATGCTTCCTTCGCCTCGACGGCCTTCTCTCTAAAACAGGAATAAGCATAGTAGCTCCCTTGTAGGAGTGTGAGGAAGTGAGTAGGTTAATGTGTACGAAGTGCAGGGAGCATCACCTGGTGGGTGCTCAGCGAGCACTGTGCATCTCCGCTAGGGGTGGGTGGCGCCGGGGCACAGAAGCAGAACTTTGGGCAGTACGTGCCACAGACAACTCTTGGGTTGCTTTTCACACCAAAACTGTATACCCCTCTTGGTTTCCGGCTGAGCATCAGAGAGAGGAGCAAATGTCTATATTAAATTTGAACAATGTAACCCAGGATGAACATTCTGTCCAAAGGATCCAAGGCCATGGCAGGGAACACAAAAGCTGCAAATGGTCTTATATTATCTGACAGATCTCTTCACAAGGTGATAGCACATCACAAGGGTCGGTGGTGGGGCAGCCATGACCAGTGTTCTCCTGCTCCCCTGTGGAATGTGAGCTGAGAAGCCCAGAGCCCCATCATCTCAAGGGGTCTATAAATTAGAAGGAAGATTAACAAGTGCAATGAACATTCTGGATCCTTCCAAGGGGAAACCAGACCCATGAGGGTAAAAACAACTTGAGAACCCATCTGCTACAGCAGTCTATAAATCATTCTGATGACAGAATGTCATCACCAAGGGCTTTAGTTCTAACTTGAAAAGGTAAAAAAAAAAAAAAAATTGTGATTCTATCTGAGAGAGGAAGTGTTTGTGCAGAATCAGAGAGGATCTGCTATAGCTAGCTCCAGAGCTTAGCCAATTGCTCTGGAATAAAGAACTGAAGTAAATAGGCCATGAACCAAATAAATAGGCCCCTCCCTCGGGCTCTGAGATTCCAGGATCTGATCGAAAGCAGGAGCTCTTGGTGAACTAACCCAGACTCCACCTGAGTCCCCAGCGTAAGGCCCCTCCCAAGCTCATCTGTTTTCGTGGTAATGGTTTATAACATTATCAGTGTTTGATAAGACCCCCTAGTGGCTTTTCCCTAACTTAGATGTCCCTTGTCTCTCTCTAATCTTAATAAAGTCATTTTTTTTCTTCCCGTCAGTTCTTAACAAACCAGGAAACAAGGACAGTGAGCCCCATGCGTCCCCAGAGGTGGAGCCTACAAAAGCAGTATTGATTTACTGACCATCCAGTAAGCCATTGGTCCCCCTCTGCTGATAGGCAGAGGGGACTTGTTTGGTCAGTGTTGACAAAGTAGAACAGGCATGGGCTCTGGAATCCAAGAAACCAGTTTGCATCCCTGGTCTGTTACTTATCAACTGTGGCTTTAAATGATTTACTCTTCTGAAAAATTTTCTTCTTACCTCTACAACTGTGTTGTCCAATATGGTAACCACTAACCACCTGTGGCTATTTAAATAAAAATGAATTAAAATTAAAAATTTACCTTTGCTGCACTAGCTACATTTCAAGTGTTTCATGGCCCCGTGTGGTTCTCCTGGCTACCATGTTGGGCTGTCATCGCCAACATTTGCATCATGGAAAATCTATTGGGCAGTGTTGATCTGGTCTAAAACCTTGCGGAGTTGGCAGATTTAAATGAGATCGTATTTGTGAAATGTCTCGCACCATAGCCCCAAATTAAATAGTATGCTGTTTTCTAATAACTACTACAATTTATTCAGCATTTGCCTTGTCCCAGGCACTTCGGCTTTCTCAATTTTGAGAGCCCTGGGAGGTTGGCATCCATGTTCTCAATTTCTCAATGGGAAAACTGAAGCTTGGTGAGGCTGGGCAGCACCACCACCAAGATTCTCCAGCAGATGCCTGCTGGGGAGGCTGGCTTTGGAACCAAACACAGCTTCCTTTTTTTTTTTTTTTCTTTTAAAGATTTTATTTGTCAGAGAGAGAGCACAAGCAGGGGGAGCAGCAGGCGGAGGGAGAAGCAGGCTCCCCGCTGAGCAAGTAGCCCAGTGTGGGACTAGATCCCTGGGACCCTGGAATCATGACCTGAGCTGAAAAGACTTTTAAACTTGAAACAAAGGAAAAATATTTTAATCTATGTCATATTTTTAAAGATTTTATTTATTTGAGAGAGAAAGCACAAGTGGGCAGAGGGACAGAGAGGGAGGGAGAAGCAGACTTGCTGTTGAGCAGGGAGCCCGACGTGGGGTTGGTTCGATCCTAGGACCCTGAGACCATGACCTGAGCCGAAGGCAAACACTTAACCGAGTCACCCAGGTGCCCCTAATCTTGAAAGTGGCATGCGTTAAGGGGGGGAAATAGGCTAAAAATAATGTTGAGACACACAGCTTTTAAATATACTCTATCCTTGATGAAATGAGGGAAGTGCCTCGGGAAGCCCATCATGGCACAAGCCTCTCAGAGCAGGGATCCTTGAGGAAGAGAAGGTTTCTAGCTATAGTGATTCCAGCAAAAGTGATCCTTCTTGCCTCTCAAACAGCATGTCCCACCCTGGTCCCAAGGTTGTCCATAGTCTCACAAAAGGAGTTGCTGTGCCTTTCATCCTGTTTCTCCCAGTGGCTTGAGGAAAGAGTGAGCTTGGCTGGAGGAGTTAACTGGTCCTTGAGCTCTAAAGTGTGACTGTGGCAAATTTTAACAGAGTCCTGTGAGAACTGAAATTCTGAGCTCCCTGGAGGAAGTTCTGTTCTGGTTTGTTTCCTTACTAGAGAGTCCCATTACCATTTGCTAACACAAAACGAACAGATTTGCAAAAGGAGAAAGAAGCCAGCTTCCTTTGATGACCTCCCCTGCCATGCCCAAGTCTGGAGGAAAGATTTCCCTGAGAAGGGGACTGAGGATATTATTGCCTCAGCCAGGTCACGGAGCCACGACCCAAGTTGTGGTCAGTAGGTATCCGTGTGAAATTTAACACTGCTGGTAGGGAAAAAAGAATAGAGATTGTGTGTGTTACTCACCCTGAGGGTCAGGTCCTTCTACGTGTTCCTGGGAGTGGAGAGAAACAGAGAGATTGTGTTTCCATTCCTTTCAGCCGATTGCCACATACTGCTCAGATTTGTTCTCTGATTGTTATGGGTAGTTTGAACACATTAGTCTGCGAATGTTGTAGCCAGAGTGGACAGCATTACTGTGGGCTTCATTGGGAACCTTGTCTGTAGCATTGGTCAGAGCTTCTTGGAGCTCCCACAGAGAATTTCTCTTCTGGCAACTGTCTCTCCTAACAACCAATGTGTTTTTAATCTGTGAACTGTATGGGTTCCTGGTCAATGATATTTTTTCTGTTTTTGCTTTTGTTCCTAGGGAGCCCAGAGCCAAATTGGTATCCTCTTTTGCCTGTTTAGGATCTTAGGACAAGGCTTTCTGGAGCTCTCTTTAATTTTGAGTTCGTTTTACTTTTCTATCTTATTTGTCTTCTCCTTGCATACGTTTCTTGTCTTGTTTTGAAAATGAGTTCTTTGAGGGGCACTCAAATAGTGCTCCTGGTCCAATGGGGATTCCCAGGAGGTGCCTCAAAGTCAAATGGATATATATGAAGTATGAAGGAGACTCATTAATGGAAGTGAGAGGGGAAAGTCAAGGATGACTCAGTTTCCATAAATCAGTAGATACAGGTGACATTTATTGAACAAAGTCTTAATGCTGGAAAGGCTTGGAGAGAGGGTAGTGAGTAAAGCATGTGGTTATGGGCATGTTAATTTAGAGACATCTGAGTGGAGATGTCAAGGAGAGAGTAAAGTTTGGAACTCAGAGAGGACTGGGCTGCTATTATAAATTTGGGAGTCATCAAGACATAGATGGTATTGAAACCAGGGGGTTAAAGGAGATCTAGGAACATCGTGGCCATGAGAATTCTCAGAACCAAGTCCTGGAAAGCATGTAGAAGTTGAGTATAGAAGGAAAAGAGACTGAAGGAATGGTATACAACCAAGGTTGGAGAGTGTTCCAAGAAGGAGGGAATAGTCTACCATTCAGAGATCAAATCGGATGAGAAAAAGAACATGTATGCCTCATTTGGCTGTATGAAAGCCATGGTAAACCTGGCCAAAGAAATTACAGAGGGAGACAGGAACAGAAGGCAGATGGAATTGGTCAAAGATAGTATGGAAGAGAGGTAGTAGAGGCAGTGAATATGGACAAACTTTTTAAGATATACTCTAAAGGGGATCACAGACATAAGGTAGTACGTGAAGGAGGCAGTGGGAAGAGCTAGAACATGTGTATGCTTCCAGGAATGATCTAGTAGAGAAAGGAAAAGCTGGTGTGTGTTGGGTGGTGATGAATGGAAGACTGCAGTCCTTGTGTGAGTGAAAGAGGATTGCATCCCGAGCAGAAATGGCAGAGGGCGATGGATTTCTGTTGGGAGAAAGTATGGTTTATGGGGAGGGAAGAAGGAGAGTGGTTCTCATCGGATGGGTTTTCTTTACTCAATGAAGCACGGTAATTGCTGGGACTCAAGAAGTTTGAGAAGAAGCCATGAAATAGTCCTTTCACAGGGTCGGGAACCTTTTAAGAAAGAATAAGTCTGGAAGTCATTGTTGACTCTTTGTGTGACATTTGTGATCTCGAATGTCAACTAAAGCCCGTCAATCCAGTTCTGTGATTTTCTTCATCAAATTCAATGATAAAATATGGATAAGATGGACTTGGTTCATCAAAAGGAATGAGATCTTGCTATTTGCAATGACGTGGATGGAACTGGAGGGTGTTATGCTGAGCGAAATAAGTCAGTCAGAGAAAGACATGTATCATATGACCTCACTAATATGAAGAATTCTTAATCTCAGGAAACAAACTGAGGGTTGCTGGCATGGTGGGGGGTGGGAGGGATGGGGTGGCTGGGTGATAGACATTGGGGAGGGTATGTGCTATGGTGAGTGCTGTGAACTGTGCAAGACTGTTGAATCACAGACCTGTACCTCTGAAACAAATAATACAATATATGTTAAAAAAAAAAAAAGATAGGAGGGGAAGAATGAAGGGGGGGAAATCGGAGGGGGAGATGAACCATGAGAGACGATGGACTCTGAAAAACAAACTGAGGGTGGGGCGCCTGGGTGGCTCAGTCGTTAGGCGTCTGCCTTCGGCTCAGGTCATGATCCCAGGGTCCTGGGATCGAGTCCCACATTGGGCTCCCTGCTCGGCGGGAAGCCTGCTTCTCCCTCTCCCACTCCCCCTGCTTGTGTTCCCTCTCTCGCTGTGTGTCTCTCTGTCAAATAAATAAATAAAATCTTTAAAAAAAACCAAAACTGAGGGTTCTAGAGGGGAGGAGGGTGGGAGGATGGGTTAGCCTGGTGATGGGTATTAAAGAAGGCACGTTCTGCATAGAGCACTGGGTGTTATACACAAACAATGAATCATGGAACACTCCATCAAAAACTATGATGTAATGTATGGTGATTAACATAACAATAAAAAATTTTTTAAAAAAGATGGACTTGGCTCTGTGGCTAAGAAAACAGAAATGAGGCCTGGGGATTGAGGGTGTCTGTGAGGGAGTGATTGCACCATGGAAGTAAGCTAGACAAGGGCAGAAGCAAAAGGAGGGAGAGAGAAGTCTGGTGGACAGTGAGTGATTGGTAAGATTAATGAATAGGAAGTTGTAAAGTCAAGTGGATATAGGAGAATGGGTACTGTTGAGGTAGGGACTAGAGAGATCAGGTGACGTGGTCCAAGAATGGGACGGTAGGAATTGAAATTTCAAGGTGGTGGTGATCAGCTCTGGGGGTACTTTATAACTGACAGAGAAAGAAAGAAAAATCATTACAATTAAGGAGGCCAAGGAACTGAAAGTTCGACCTCAAAATAAGTTGTAAAACCATTCTTATTTATCATGTAGATTTCATGGATCATTTCAAATCCTTATTTGGAAAAGGAGAGGGTGCACATAAATAATAAAGATGGTAGCTGATTCATTGCGGGTCTACTCTGTAAATACCCTTTTAGGACAGACTTTTGAATGTTATGCACCAGAATTTTGTACTACCATTAAGATACTGCGGGAAATATTCTAAAATGTGTTAATTCTCATATTTTAATTAGTGATTCTTGTTTCTCTATCAGTAATAATAACAAGACTCCCTGTGGCCTTTTGGTAATACCTTTTGCGTGGCGTACAACACCTTTCTGTTCTAGCCCTAATTATGGGTCCAGTCTCATCTGCTGCTATTCTGTTGAGATGTTCTAACCACACCAATTCCTCAGAAGTTCCCAGTATCAGGTCAGGTGTACATGTCCTTGCAAATGCTGTTCCTTCTGCTCAGCATGCTGCTTCACCTGGATAACTCCTACCCATCTAGAGTGTAAGCTCCTGGGTCAAGCCTTTTCAAAAAAGTTGAACCATCCCAAAGTGCCATCTTTGTAGGTCAAATATTGGCAATGTCATGTTGTTAGTAATTTGTTATCACAAATGTAAGTTTGAGCCATACATTACTGATAGTAGCTACCACTTGCTGAATTGTAACTGTGTGCCAAGCACTTTATATTTATCAACTCACTTAATTGCTACAAGCCTGAAAGGTGTGTGTAAATACCTCTGTTTATTAAATAAGGATTATGCGACTTAGGGCCTTTCTAGGAGATGATAAAAAATAAATGGCAGAACTGGGTTTTGATTCCAAAGGCAAAGGTCATACCGTGCATGCTCCCATTCTTTCTATTTTTCATTGCTATGTCTGCAGTGCTTAGCATGTGTCTGGTACACAGTTGAAAATGTATGATATTCTTCACCTATCAGAAGAGTACCCAAACAAATTTGAAGGCTGGCTTTGTTCAAGGCCCCTGGGACTCTAAATTCTGACACCTTCTGGTGGCCCAGTCTCTTGACATTGGCTTTACCTTGATGAATGTTGCTGCTTCCCTGAAATTTAGAAAGATATGCTTTGATGGGTGAAATTCAGAGTATGAACTACCCTTAAAGTCTTAATCCTATAATCACTCTTTGTTTTAAGTCACTGCCCTGATCCACATGTGGACCCCTATTGGAACCTGCAGACAGGTTCCCTATTGTTGGCCCTGTAATTATCGAGGAGGACAACTTCTTTACATCATGAGAAGGACACATGGTGCCAAGGCTTGGTGCAGTACAGACAGAGGGCAAAGGGTATCTGGGTTCATTTCCTGAATACTCTTTTTCTTTCACTGATACAGAATTTACCTGGTGCTCATAAGCGCAATGGTACTTTCTTTCTAAAGACCAGAAATCTTTTGGCAAGTATAGCATAGCATTCCTGAATCCCTGCATGTGGAGCCTAAAATTCCTTCTTGATTCAAATTTTGATTCTCTAAGTTTCAACAGAGTTTCTGGTGTCCAAGGCCACTGCAGTGGTTCTCAAACTTTAGCGTGCATTAGAACCACCTGGAGGGCTGTTGGAATGCAGACTTCTGGGCCCTGCTCCCAGAGACTCTGGTTCGGTCCATCTGGGCTGGAGCCTTAGACTCTGCAGTTCAATCAAGCTCCCAGATGATGTTGATACTGCTGGTCCAAGGACTACACTTTGCCTAGGTCGCAGTCCTGCTCAAGTCCTGGTTTAGAGGATATAACATGAAGTTGGATGTAAAAGCAAAAATCTCAGAAATTTTCTCAGTAAACATCTGAATGCTGAATGATATAGACAAAAAAAAAAATCAATGATTTAAAAAAATTATCTCCCAATTTTTTACATTATATTAAATACAGTCAACAATTGCTCTTTTGTGGAGGGAGACTAGTTGGCTGGAATCTGGGAGTCCTTCTTCCTTCCCTGAGCTCATCTCAGGTCTTAGAGAAACTTTCTTCTCTATGACCTACAGGACATCAGTGTGTTTTGTTCTTAAAGCTACTCTAGAGGGAGATGCTGCATAAAGTTGATCACTCTTTCAATACAAAAGTGAATGCAAAAAGTTTTCAAGATGAAAATACTCCATAATGTAATAGAAAATACGGTCATTAGATTTAGGATGCAAAAGGGTGATTTCTCATTTTCCCTCGTTTAGACGCTTAAAAGATATTTGCATTTTTATTAGATTCAAAATGGGGCTGAGTCATACAGATCAACACATTTCTTTTTAACAGGAATCCGTTGTGTTTGAACCCAACTGCCTCTTCAAAGTGGATGAATTTGGCTTCTTTCTGACCTGGAGGAGTGAAGGCAAGGTAGGGCACAGGAACTGCAAGTTGTTCTTTCCTGCTCTCTGATTTAAACCATTATATTTCTCAACAAGTGGGCAGAAGGCCTCTTAAGGACATGGACCCCTACGCTTACTTATTTATTCAAGATTTTAAAAACGTTCTTCCATATGGCAGGCATTGGGGATACTACCCTAGTCCTCATAGATTCCAGTCTAGGAGAAAAGCAGACATTAAAAAAAAAAAAAAGGTACAAGTCATTGAGTGTTGTGAAAGAGAAGGTCGGGTTGTTACAAGAGTTTAAAACAGGCAGATCTGATTTAATCTTGGGAATTAGGAAGGTTTTCTAGAAGAAGAGAGTTTCAAGTTGAGTCTCAAAGGTGCATTAAGAGCTTGTTCATCTTGTTACACCCTGGGACTTCACTCAATACACAGCACAGCGCACACATTAAATGAATCTTTGAACTGAATTTAAGGAAATAGAATTGGAATTCTATAGAAGTATTGTACCCACTTAAAATTAACACACACACGTGTTTAAGGCTATACATACTCCAGTAACAGTATTATATGCATAAAGATAACAACACTTCGTAAACATAAATAATTTTTCAGGCCTGCATCCGTATAGACAAGTATATTTGAAATGGAAAGTATGGGGTCTTCACTATTTCTGATTGTCGGGTATTTTGATGACTGTCTTTTGTTTTTCGCTCCCTCTCTACCTTACTATCATTGACATTGCCTTCAGAATCACGTAACTCGTCCGTGCCATAGGTCTGGCAAGATTTCAGCTCACTGCTGTATTATATTCTCTCTTTTCAGGAAGGACAAGTGCTAGAATGCTCCCTCATCAACAGTATTCGATTGGGAGCCACCCCCAAGGTACCTGTGATTGGTGTTGGCTTTTCTTCTAAACACAGATTTACTTAAGTTGGAAAAGAGTTCTGGAATGTTATTTAACCCTTTACTGCCCCAAACGCCATCAGCTGGGAATGAAGGGCACATGGTTTAGAAATCTTTTCATCTATATCCATTGGGTGGTTTGGGTTGCATTATGTTTAGTTATATTAGAAGCATTATTCACCTTTCAAAGAGAAGGTGCTTGCATGATACCTCCATCAAAGAAACAGTTTCCTTAACTCAGAAATTAATTCATCAAGGCCCTCCCTCCCTCTTCTGCCATTTTTTTTAAGCCAACAGTGAGTCGCTTCTGGTCTGTGGTTGATGTGGAAATTTAAATGGCATGGTTAATTCCGTATTTGTGCACCTGTGCACGCAGACAGCAGCTCACCTTGGAGGCTTCGTTTGCCTCTGAGAGAAAAAGATGACAGAGCATATCAATCCATCTTCTTCACAGTGATTGACTTGTTTGAATAAGAAGCTGTTTGCATAGGGCGCCTGGGTGGCTCAGTCGGTTAAGCGACTGTCTTCGGCTCAGGTCATGATCCTGGAGTCCCGGGATCGAGTCCCGCATCGGGCTCCCTGCTCGGCGGGGAGTCTGCTTCTCCCTCTGACCCTCCCCCCTCTCATGTGCTTGCTCTCTCTCATTCTCTCTATCAAATAAATAAATAAAATCTTTTTTTTTAAAAAAAAGAAGCTGTTTGCATAGTGGTGCTAGGAATTTAGAAGCTGCCTTTTTTTCTAGAATATTAAAGCACAGTATTTATTCTCTTTTTCATAATAGCCCTGCAGGTTTTTAGATGTTGAAAAACAAAATTACGTGCCTCATTTTGTTTCTGTGTGTCTTTTTCAAAGCTGTCTTCTTTTATGTTAGTTAAAATTTCTGCGTAACCATGTTGGCATTTCCTCCTGAGTTCTTTCGGAGGACAAATATGCTATTTTTTGTGTTAATTAGGGTAGACTTACACTCTCTTCATTCCAAATGAAGATGCCATGGCTTCTAAGAGATGAACATACTCACTCTTTGTGTCCAGGCTACTCGACTTAAGCTTATTTTTTAATAACCCTTGGTTGCTGGCTGTGGCAATGCCTATGTTTATTTGCATGAGACGTCAGTGACTGTCCTCTGCTCAAAGACCCCTTTGATCTTTGTGGACCCAAGCAGGTCCTGGTCAGAGCCTTTCCATCATCCAGGTCCTCTGATAATTACAACCAAGAACCTAAAGAAAGACCCTCATACCTAGTTTTCTCAATTAATGATATTAGAATACTTTTCCTACCAAATGAGTTCAAGTAGTGTGTAGTGTTACAAGTTTTACTTCTACACGTTTTAGAATAATGCTAGATATCAGGGCATTTTTAGATGGAGAACATTTGTCCTTCTGTGTATTTTTACATCAAATGAGCATGTTCCCTCCATGCTCTGTGATCTAACAATTTTTCCCTATTTGTGTACTCCTATACAGGATCCCAAAATCCTCGCCGCTCTTGAAGCTGTTGGAAAGTCAGAGAACGATCTGGAAGGGCGGATAGTTTGTGTCTGCAGTGGCACAGATCTGGTGAACATCAGTTTCACGTACATGGTGGCTGAAAATCCAGAAGTAACTAAGGTAGCCTCAGTGAAAAAAACCTCCCTTCCCTTTCCCCCGTATGTATATATGTGGTATGTATGTTATATATAATTTTGTTTTCTATATTAAAGTTGTATAGTAATAATTTTAATTTAAAATTTTAAAAATATATATTTCTATTGCTAGCTGTAATGTGGTGTAGAAAATTCAGCAAGCACAGTACTCTTTTAGTGTATCACTTAAGTATACCAAGAATCCAAGCACTTCTGTGGATATGTTGTAGGAGAAACTAGCCCAGCACCTGTCACACTAGAATGTGCACAGGAATCACCTGGGGTTTTGTTTCTTTTCTTTTTTTTTTTATTCTTATGTTAATCCCCATACATTACATCATTAGTTTTACCTGAAGTGTTCCATGATTCATTGTTTGTGCATAACACCCAGTGCTCCATGCAGAATGTGCCCTCCTCAATACCCACCACCAGGCTAACCCATCCCCCCACCCCCCTCCCCTCTAGAACCCTCAGTTTGTTTTTCAGAGTCCATCGTCTCTCATGGTTCGTCTACCCCTCCGATTTCCCCCCCTTCATTCTTCCACCTGGGGTTTTGTTAAAATGCACATTGTGATTCAATAGGTCTGAGATGAGGACAAAATACTCCCTCACGGGTTCCTAGCTGATACCAATCCTGCTGGTCTGAGAACCACAGTTTGAATAGCAAGGGGCTAGATCAGCATTGCCCAGTAGAAATCTAAATCAAGCCACAGATACCATTTAAATTTTTCTGGCAGGCACATTTAAAAAGTAAGAAGGAACAGATGAAATTAATTTCAATAAAATAGTTTGTTCAACACGATATACCCAAAATACTGTCATTTTAACTTAAAATCAATGTAAAATTTATTAATGACATTTTACCTTCTTTTTATACCAAGTCTTCAAGATCTGATGTGTGTTTTTAATTCAGCCTAGCCATATCTGAAGTGCTCAATAGCTGCATATGGCTGACGGCTGCTATATTGGACAGCACAGGTCTAGATGGTAAAGATATCCAAGCCCTGCCCCCACCCCTATAAGTTATTAGAGTATTGGGTCATGATCTGTCTTTTAATACCATACCCAGCATACCATTGCCCTGGCAAGTGAGTCTCAAAGAGGTTTTGGCCAAAGCAGAAAGCCTAAAACATAAATCACTTTTCTGCAAGTCATTTGTTTTCGGGGTGATTTTACCTCTGAACAGAGCTCTCAGTATCTTTCTGTAATAGGTGTGGGGAGGCCTGAGCCTTGATTCTCCCATTGCAGAGACCTCGATGTGGGGGCTATGGGAGGCATTTCGTTTTCCCATTTAATTCTACCAGAAGAAACTAAGTGTAGGGTTGAATGAGAAAGTCATCATTGCAGATACCGGGTTTTAGAGCTAGGCAGGAACGTACAGATAAGATCATCTGACAAAACTTGACCCTGGACCAGAGCTAACTGGTGGCAGAAGTGAGTTCTTCAGACTCTGAGACCCTCTAGGCTCTTTACTCCCACTCACAAAGTATGATCCACCTTCTAGCAGCACAGCCTCACCTCGGAGCTCCTTACACCTTAGAGTCTCAGGTCCACCCAGACCTACAGATCCAGAATCTTCATTATTTTAACAAGACCCCTCCCGCTCCCTGCTACAGATGACGCAGATGGGCAGTCAAGTCCGAGCAGCTCCTGGACTTAGGGTTTGAAGCCAGGAATGGATACTCCACGTTACAGGGGAGGCTTTGTTTCTGTCTCGTGGTGGTTTTTTTTTTTATTGGTTTTATGCTCTTGTTCCAGGTTACCTCACTTTGGGAGAATAGAGATTGCAAAGCCTTTAAGTTTTTCTATTATTTTGCTTAGAGCGATGCCAGTTTGAATGGTTCCTTGAACCCTGCTGATCTGAACGTGTATTATTCCTGCTTTTTGTACTTCACGCCTGCATCTTTGCTACAGAGGTCTTTTTTAGTGGTTATTTGCCATAGCAACATTTCAATCCCAGAAGACCATGCTGACCACTCATAAAAAAGAGGCTTCATTAATCAGATACAGATGTTGAGCTGCCCCAAATTTTGCAAAAAGACTGTTCTGTAGACCTGTATCTTCTGGCTTTTGTCAGCTCGTCATATTACAAGCAGTATGAGTCGGTATAGGCTTGGGCTTTGGGACCAGGTTGCCTGGGCTCAAATCCTTGCTCTTCCACGAGCAGCTGTGTGACTTAGACAGACAACTTACCTCTCTGTGCCTCATTTCCTTCATCTGTGAAATGGGAATAATACCAAAGTATCTGCTATTAGGAGTGTCATGAGGATTACATGAGTTACCTACATAGAAAGTGCTTAATGCACTGTCACCCACTGAAAGCCTTGGATGAGTGTTAGCCCTGATGATCCCGGGGTCACAGAATATTAGGGCAGGAAATGGAGTTTAGGAAGCACTTCCTACCACATCATTTTTCAGATGAGGAGAATGAGGCCAAAGAGTTAAAAACAAAAACAAAAAACCTCACCTAAGACGACACAGCAGGCTAGACCAGAATCTGGCCTCACACTCAGGCTTTCTGATATCCCATGTGATATTCCTGCCCACCCCACCTGATGCCCTGGGCAAATACAGTCCTGGAAAGATGGCTCAAACCAGGAAATCCCATAATATTTTTGCTTTCCTTGGTTTGATTGCTCTCAGTCATAGTCCATTTCATTTAAGAACCATGTTCCAAAATTAACTCTGGTGTGTATGTACTTAAAGTTAAGATTTAGGGTTCTTTTCCTAGTAGCATTTTTTTTTTCCACCATCACGGTATTCTTTATTTTATTATTTTTTTAATTTTATTATGTTGTGTTAGTCACCATACAATACATCATTAGTTTTTGATGTAGTGATCCACGATCCATTGTTTTTGTATAACACCCAGTGCTCCATGCAGTACGTGCCCTCCTTAATACCCATCACTGGGCTAACCAATCCCCCCTCCCCCCTCCCCTCTAAAACCCTGTTTGTTTCTCAGGTCCATAGTCTCTCATGGTTCATCTCTCCCTCCAATTCCCCCCGCCCATTTTCCCTTCCTTCTCCTAATGTCCTCCATGTTATTCCTTATGTTCCACAAATAAGTGAAACCATATGATAATTGACTTTCTCTGCTTGACTTATTTCACTTAGCATAATCTCCTCCAGTCTCATCCATGTTGATGTAAAAGTTGGGTATTCATCTTTTCTGATGGCTGAGTAATATTCCATTGTATATATGGACCACATCTTCTTTATCCATTCATCTTTTGAAGGGCATCTCAGCTCTTTCCACAGTTTGGCTATTGTGGACATTGCTGCTATGAACATTGGGGTGCATATGGCCCTTCTTTTCACTACATCTGTGTCTTCGGGGTAAATACCCAGTAGTGCAATCGCTGAGTCATAGGGTAGCTCTATTTTTAAATTTTTGAGGAACCTCCACACTGTTTTCCAAAGTGGCTGTACCAACTTGCATTCCCACCAACAGTGTAAGAGGGTTCCCCTTTCTCCACAACCTCTCCAACATTTGTTGTTTCTTTCCCTGTCCATTTTGGCCATTCTAACTGGTGTAAGGTGGTATCTCAGTGTGGTTTTGATTTGGATTTCCCTGATGGCTAATGATGATGAACATTTTTTCATGTGTCTGTTAGCCATTTGTATGTCTTCTTCAGAGAAGTGTCTGTTCATCTCTTCTGCCCACTTTTTGACTTGATTATTTGTTTTTTGGGTGTTGAGTTTGAGAAGTTCTTTATAGATTTTGGATACCAGCCCTTTATCTGTAGTGTCATTTGCAAATATCTTCTCCCATTCTGTGGGTTGCCTCTTTGTTTTGTTGACTGTTTCCTTTGCTGTGCAGAAGCTTTTTATCTTGATGAAGTCCCAAAAGTTCATTTTTGCTTTTGTTTCACTAGCTTTTGGAGATGTATCTTGAAAGAAGTTGCTGTGGCTGATGTCAAAGAGGTTACTGCCTATGTTCTCCTCTAGGATTTTGATGGATTCCTATCTCACATTGAGGTCTTTCATCCACTTTGAGTTTATCTTTGTGAATGGTGTTAGAGAATGGTCGAGTTTCATTCTTCTGCATGTGGCTGTCCAATTTTCCCAGCACCATTTATTGAAGAGACTGTCTTTTTTCCATTGCATATTTTTTCCTGCTTTGTCAAAGATTATTTGACCATAGAGTTGAGGATCCATATCTGGGTTCTCTATTCTGTTCCATTGATCTGTATGTCTGTTTTTGTGCCAGTACCATGCTGTCTTGGGGATCACTGCTTTGTAATATAGCTTGAAATCGGGCAACGTGATGCCCCCAGCTTTGTTTTTCTTTTTCAACATCTCCTTGGCGATTCGGGGTCTTTTCTGATTCCATACAAATTTTAGGATTGTTTGTTCCAGCACTTTGAAAAATGTCATTGGAATTTTGATTGGGATGGCATTGAAGGTATAGATTGCTCTGGGTAGCATAGACATTTTAACAATGTTTATTCTTCCGATCCATGAGCATGGAATATTTTTCCATCTTTTTGTGTCTTCTTCAATTTCTTTCATGAGTGTTTTGTAGTTCCTAGAGTATAGATCCTTTACCTCTTTGGTTAGGTTTATTCCGAGGTATCTTATGGTTTTTGGTGCTATTGTAAATGGAATCGTTTCTTTAATTTCTCTTTCTACAGTTGCATTGTTAGTGTATAAGAAAGCAACTGATTTCTGTGCATTGGTTTTGTATCCTGCCACATTACTGAATTGCTGGATGAGTTCTGGTAATTTGGGGGTGGAGTCTTTTGGGTTTTCCACATAAAGTATCATGTCATCTGTGAAAAGAGAGTTTGACTTCTTTGCCAATTTGAATACCTTTTATTTCTTTTTGTTGTCTGATTGCTGTTGCTAGGACTTCTGGGTACTAGTTGAACAACAGTGGTGAGAGTGGGCACCCTTGACGTGTTCCTGATCTTAAGGGAGAGGATCTCAGCTTTTCTCCATTGAGGAGGATATTCGCTGTGGGTTTTTCATAGATGGATTTTA